AAAGTTATGAAACTAACTAGCTCAAAAAGAAAAGCAAGCTTGATCTTAGTAGAGTTTATTGAATAGTTTTGGAATTGGTTTACTTTATTCTATTTTTACCGAATTTCAAGTATAAAATTTAAATATTTATTAATTCATTCGTTTATTCGATTAAAAGGATTTAAATTATCTGTATTTTTTTTTTTTACATTTAGAAAGCTCGTCAATTATTACGTGACATGTCAAGTATGTCAGATGCACCAATCGAGCCACCTATGCAAACAAGATTACTTGATGCATGTACAGAGGTTCCTGGTGTAGTTATGGCTGGTGTCCCCGGTGGTAAATATTGTTTATTTTTTATTATATTTAAATGTAATTAAGGACTTATTTATATTCAAATAATTTTTTTCAAATAATTTTTTAATTCATTAAAAGCTGGAGGGTATGATGCTATATTTTGTGTAGGTATTGAAGATAATTTTATTACGCAAGTTGAAAATATTTGGGAAAATTGGAGCGAAATGAGTGTTGGTCCTTTGTTAACAAGTGAATCTTCAGATGGATTTATGAAAGAGAGTTTAGATAATGTATTAGGCTTGAAAAACTGTTTAGAATTATAATTTATAATTTATATATATAGTATGTAACTTAAATTTATAGATCTATTCTTACTCTATAAAATGTAAACTCTCAAATATGAGGGTTATTTCTGGTTTCACCATATAGCCCCACTAGTTGCTAGTATTCATAAGTTCCAGTATATTCGGATATTCATGATTGTTATGAAAATTTGTAATTTAAACTATAATTATTATTTATTATCAATTAACAGTGTTTATTTGATTTTGTCGAGCACTAATTGAACATGGACAGTCCATATCCATGGACAAACAAGGTAATTCCTATGTCCAAGACTATAATACTAAAACATAAGATATTTAAAATAAATCTAAGTTATTTTGACTAATAGGAATATTGTGACGAATTTAAGATATCTCGTGATCTAGTGATTGAAATTTGAAGAAATTTATACAATTCGATTCGTCCAGATAAGATAAATCGAATGGTGTAAAGATAATCCAAATTACAGAATTACGAGATATCATTAATATTTTGTAAAAAATTATTTTGCAAAAACTTTGACCAAATGAAATATAGCCTATATGTTATCTGAAACGAAACCTATCCGAAACTAGTTTCAGGAGGTACTAATCCGAAAATAGTTTCAGATTTTACAGCTATCGCTATTCTCAAATTCTGGGACAGCTGATAAAATTTGATCGGCCGAATTCGATAAGTTATCGATCAAATTTTATCAGCTGTCCCAGAATTTATGAGACAGCTGCACAAAATAAATTCATTTATTGTATAATTAGAGTTTCGGATAGGGTTGGAGGCATGGTGTCCCAAGGCATGCCTAGGGCATACCCTTTAGCTAAAAGGCAACTCTTTATATAAAAAAACCTCACGTATGAAGTTTCATTGATTTGATTGGTCAATTATCAGTTGATTTAACATAAGTTAGGGTTAGTGATGGGCACGCGCGCAAAATGCGCGTGATTTTTAATATGTTCCCTAATTCAGGCCAGCCGCCCGCATTAACAAAATTTTAAGAAACCCACAAGGTAATCTCTATCCCGCGCATCACGCGCGTAAACCGCATCCCGCGCGGGATATTTGGGAAAACCGCGATTTGCCCATCACTAGTTAGGTTAATCAATTATGATATCTAGAGAGGGCATGCCTAGGGCACAGAGGGGCATGCCCTCGACAAAGGCATGCCCAAAAAATTTTCCTTGCCCCCAACCCTTGTTTCGGAAGAGGTCGATAAATTTTTTTTTATTCTAATTCTATGAATTCATAGAATGAAAATAAAATAAACATATGGGCGAATTTTTTTCCACTTAATATTGTCACAAAATTCGATTTTGTCACACATAACTTATTAACTAATCAAATTCATTCTATTCAATTATATCACCTAAGTTATATTTCAAATATTTGATCAATAAAAATTTGTTGCATACGTACAAAGATTAGTGTCAATGGCTAGTAAATACCAACTTTGTCAAGAGAATCTTTATTCTTGAAAAGAGCTTGTAACTCATGAAAGAATTGGCATAGAAATAACAAAACTATATCTCACTGCAAGCTACTTATTCAACCTTTTCTTGAGCAAGTTATATTTTATCAAGATGCATTTATAGTTCTTGTCAAAAAATGTCTTGGCTTTAATAGACATTTGACAGGCACAAAACAACTTTTTTTTTTTTTTTGTTTTTTAACTTAGGTAATCTTGCCCTTCATTTATTGAGAGAAAACATAAAATATGTTATAACAAAAATATAATCTAAGCTAAGCTAGTTACATAATATCCTCTCTATGCAAATCCGAACTCACTCAGCTACCAGACAGTGCTCAGATACGATCTAATCGCAATAGTCAAATTTTCCTTCCAAAAGAACAGTTTGTCAAAGTAAAGTCATATTCAAATGATCAACAGAAGGTTACTATATATCATTCTTATCAAGATTATCTAATTCTCTAACCTTCTTCTTCTAGCTTTTCAAGTCGAAGAATTTATATTCCAACTGACTAATGAAAAAAACAAATAACAAGAAATATAAAAAGGAAAAAACAAAAAAAGAGGAAAAGCTGCCTATATGAAAAAAAAAAATACAAAAAGAAAATAAAAGAAGAAAAAGAAGACAGAAAAAAGATAATCAAGATAGAACATACTATTATAGCTCATGCTAAGGCAAAAATGATAAAAATTATTTATAGTACTAACACATATACTATAAATCTCGAGTATAACTTCTCATTAGCTATCATTCTATTTA